AGGAACTTCCTAGCAAAAGTTGACTGCAACGTCTGGGTCTGTATATCCTCTCTTGTCTTTATGGCTAAACTCTGTTTTCTGTGCTAATAAGAAGAAAAAAATCAAGATGGTCTAAAAATATTTTGAACTATTAATACAAATTTTCTCTACGAACCCCCTAAACCTCCTATATATATAAGCAGCAGAATTCACTTGACTTCTTTTTTTTCTTTGAGGTTACCTGGATAATCCACAAATTATACCCTTTTAATTCTTGTGAATGTACAGTTTTAAAAAAGATACAAGTGCAAGTCTGTGGGGACCACTGGTTTGGAATGGAGCTAGGTTTTAGTTTTGACTCACCTATTATTGCAGATCTGATATTGATTATTGCTCGTAGGTTGACTCCACTCCATCAGCTACTGAAGCCCCATGGCCAGTTGTTCACGAGTTGTGCAGTGTGCGGAGACTGTCCCCATTTTAATACAGCTTTTCTTTACAGTGGTGACTGAGGTAAGCCTCTTTTCGCAGATGCTGTTTTTCTCTTCAGTTCTATGGCAGTCATATTAACTCCCCTTCTTAGAAACTTTCAGTGCTTTTTATTACCTGAGGAGACTGGATTTCTCATCCTGGCATTCAGGACTCTTCACTATGTAGTTTTTAGTCTACCTGCTCCTCTATGTTATAGTCTAATCAAATTGGATTATTTGGTTTCCCACCCATACTCTGCAGTTTCCTAACATAGTGTTTTGCTCATCTTCATTCACCTGAAATTTCTTTTTGGCTATAAAGACCAGTTATTTCTTGAGTCTCATCTGAAGTGCCTCTTCATTCATGAAGCCTTCCCTAATGACCTCAATTGGAAGTGATCTCTCTAATAGCTACAGCACTTGAGGCCTCTCTTGAGCATTTGCATTCTGGTTAGTATTATAATTACTTGTATGCTTGTCTTATTCTCTAGTTTATCATCTTGTAATCTTTTGGGGGGCAGAAACTACCTTTCTTTTCTTTGCACTTGGCCTCCCAGTTTCCCTGTACACATTGTAGAGGAATCAAAGGATGAAGCAGACATTATTTTCAAAACGGGTTGGCTTTTATAGGTTACTAAAGGACCAGGGCTGTGTCAACGCGTACATTCTGTACCATGCTTAGTGGATTGCAGGCGTTCATTGTGGCAATATTTAATTTCAGTTTGCAGATGGGACACTGATAAACCAGCTGGTAGTGCTCCTGTTGGAAAGAAGTGATTTGGTCTTTGATGTTCCACAGTTTAAAGCTGCTGTCCCCAGGTAGGTCTCTCCTGCTGTTCCTTTTGTCTCCTCACCTTAAATTTCCTGACTCCTTATTACCTTTCCCAGGATTCTGTCCTTGACTTTTTTCCACTTGCAGAGCTTATTCCTTCCAGGGATTTCAGCTATCCCTCTTCATAGTAATTGCTAGGTGTTTCAGTGTAGTTCTGATTTCACATTGCTTCCTACTCCACTGGGATTGTTATCTCAAACCCCTCACATATCTGTTCCCAACTTCCCTATTCCTATTAATGGTACTTTGATTATTCCCATTTCGTAGGCAGGCAAGTTTCTAGCATTACACCACCAGTTCCTTCAGCCTCCACCTTCGTAGCCTATTTTTTCCTGAATAAGCGTTTCTTGGGTTTGTCTCCCCTTCAGTCACCATTCCAGCAACCCACAACTAAAGGACTTTTTCCTTCACACCCAGGCAATAGCCTAACTAATTTCTCCTCCTGTACTCCATACTAGTTCTGGAACTAAACTTTAATGAAGAATATTTTCATTGTTATTTTCTCCTTGCAAGAAACCACACTAATTTCTTATTGCCTTAAAGAGCAAGTCTAAATTTTTTCATACTGGCATTTTGGACCTTATCTAATTTAATATCTTTTTATTTTCTGGCAAAAACCTGTTCCTATCAGCTGGTCTCACTGTCCTTTTCATATATACCATGATAATCCTTGTCTCTGTGCCTTTTTCTTCATACTGAGTCTGGTATCAGGACATCTCAGTAGAAAGGCAGATCTTTTAATTTTTCATAAAGCACAGCTCATTCATGTACTTAACAGTAGTTTGATCTAGAAAGCCAAGCTGGATGCCACCTCATATCACATAAGAAACTTCCATCACTGGAATCTAAGTAAATGTTACTCTTGTTTCTATGGAAACAATTTATTGCCTTCATTTCAGCTGTAGATTGTTGCCTAAGAGAAAGAGTTGTCAGTTTTGTTTTGTGCTAGGCAATAGGGTTAAGTGACTTGCCCAGGGTCACACAGCTAGTAAGTGTTATGTGTCTGTGGTCAAATTTGAACTCAGGTCCTCCTGACTCCAGGGCCAGTGCGCTATCCACTGTGCCACCTAGTTGCCTCTATGGGTTGTTAGTTCTTTATGTTTACTATGTAGCTGGGTTAGAATTTTAAAATTCTGTTAGAAAGACCCAGCCTGTTAACAGGCTGTTGGAGAATAAATGTGCAAAATGCCCCAGAGGTCCTAAGGATTTAGTTTGTAAGCATGTTTTAATTTTGAATCACAGCCTTCCCAGAGTTTGAGTAGCCCACTTCGTTCTTATCTTCTCCCTCGCAAAGCTACAAATCTAGACAGTTCCTTTGTTCATTCTTTGTGTTTCCACATATTTCCTGTATTAAGCTGGGAGGGGGGTGGCGGGGGAATATCCATAACCATAGCATGTGAGCATTGCGTTTTCTGCTTTCATTTTTTTAAAAATTTGTTATATAAACCAGGCATATTTGCTTTAGTCATGGAGTGAGGCAGTACAGAAGGTAGTAGGGAAAAAAAACCACATGTAGGTGGTTATATAATACTACATCTTATTACATTGAATTATATCCGATCATAACATTATATTATCATGGAAAGTTACATATTGGTCCATGGCAAATATTCCTTGCCTATAGCCTGCTATTTTATGGAGCATAATGTTAACCTGAATAAATGTCTATTGATTGTGTAACCACTTATTCCCTGGCAGAGTAATGAGTTCCCAGCTTCTGGTCCTGTGTAAACTACATCCTTCTCTTGTAGTTGAACTGTCTAAGGAACTACTAGAGTTCACAGGAACCATCAGCAATATCGACAGCAAGGAGAACATATTCACCAGTGTGGTAAGGAACATGCTTAGCTGCTGCTTATCTTTGCTTTACCTTACCACTTTTTTTGCCAGATAGCATTCTGTGGTGTTTTGAGAGAATATAGGCCATCAGAGTGGGTTATCTTAGAATCAAGGTTACTCATAATGGCTTTCTGTGTTTGGTTAAAGGTCTGGGCAGTTGGAGAATACCTGTCTGTGCTCTATGACAAGCGGTGCACTGTGGAGCTGATCAACAAGTTCTTTGAAGCCCTAGAGGCCTTGCTATTTGAAATTACCCAGTTTCGCCCCTCTGCTACACTTCCCAAGTGCTGTCCACGAGTAATCACAGTTCTTATGACCACGCTGACCAAACTAGTCTCCCGGAGTCAAGATTTGATTCCTAGGTACATCACTAGGAAGTGGGAAAAAGAAATGTTAAGTTTTTGTGGGAAATGGTTCGTATGGTTATTTCACTGCTAAAATGAACTGTTCCTTTACTAAAATTATGTCTTTGATATCTGCTTTGTGCCTCGATGACCTCCAGAGTGTCATGAATAACTGTTTGTCCCAGTTTCTCTGAGCAAAATCTGCTTTTGCAAGTGAGGCGCATCTCCTTAGATTGGACCCTAGAACAGAGGCTATTGGAAATAGGGAGAGCAAGAGTCTAACCCAGACTCCCCCAGTAATTCACTGTATGACCTTAGACACAATCTTTCTTGGCCTGAATTTCCCTCTCTAAAATGAGACGACTTCTAAAGCCCCTTTCAGCTGTTATAATTTTGTGATCTCTTATTTTTTTTCAGAGTTTTCTTGTTTCTGTCCAAGGTGAGATCCTTTGCTGAGAGTCCTGCTATGACCACTGTGTATAGTGAGGAAGACACAGAGACTATCCTGACTAGAGCCACCGAGTTGATGAACTTATTGAAAATGCCAAGTGTGGCTCAGTTTGTCCTGACACCATCTATAGAGCTGTCTAACCCACGTTATCACCTTGACACGAATACCTCCTTGCCTCTGGCCCTGAGAATGGTCAGCCAGCTAGTTGAGAAAGAGGCTGGCCTCTGCCAGGGTGAGGTGCCAATGTGACTCGGTGCACACTGGGGGACTCAGATTTAGACCCTAGACTTGTATCTAGCTAAGCTCCTTTTGGCAAGAGGTAAATCCAACGGAAAGACGTGACAAAAACATGACTGTAAGGAGATACATATTATGGTTATCTTCTCTTGAACCGTAAGTGTTTTATTTATATGCCCTTTCCTATTACGACTACACTGTGAGTAGTGCTTTTTTAAACAGATTCCAGATCTATGGTCTCAGTTTTGGACTTGATGATTGATTAAAATGGTGCTACGCCCTCTCTCGGGTTGGAGATGGCTTTTCCTAGAATCAAGGACTGTGGACTACTTACATATCTAGGGAAACGCATAGCATATTCCTTTGGCAAGACAACAGTTGTCTGTTCATGTTTGTTCCCTGAGTAAAATCAGATTTCTTTGCAGTTATTTTCTAAGTGTATTAAAGTAGGTATTTTATTATATCCATTTTTTCCCACTTAAATCTTTAAATATAATACTCTTCCAACAAATTTGCACCATTTAGTATTGTTACTTGTCAGATAAATACATAAAAAGATGTACAATATTAACAAGAATGAAGAAATAAGTTTCTTGCTGGTGGTGACATCCAAGAATACAATTTAACATCCCCCCCATTTACATTAACAGAACGTTTGATTTTAATAAACAAAGATGATATAGCTCCTTTTGGAGAGACTGAGATTCAACAATTCAATGAAGCATCTGAATAAAGGAAAAGAGCTTTCTGCATTCACTCTAATTGTGCATTGGTATGACTGTCAAGCAGAAGGAGCGCCACGTGTTAGATTGCAGTAGAATAACAATTCTTAGGATGCTGCCTGGCCCATCATTACTAGTCTCAGCTCGGATAAGCTTTGTAAAACCCTACATCAGTTTATTTCTCTTGCCCAAAAGAACCATTCTGCACAGTTTTAACTTTAATCAGCTTCACTCACAATCCAAACCGAGTTACTTTGTTATGGTTGGTCTATAAGCCACCTGGAAACTTAAATACCACTCCATTAGTCTTGACTGTTACCTTTGACTAAAAAGTTCTGGAGAAGCAGAACACTTGTGTCAGCATTCAAAAAAAAAAGTATGAATAGATTCCTAAAAGGGGAATATTTAGTTTTGGGCCAGGCTGAGTTTGGCACTACCCACTGTCTTAAGAAGGCACTTGGGGTAACACCTAAGGGACAACATAAGAAAAATGCACAGGGACTAGTTTCTGATACCAAACCATCTCAGCTAAAGTATTCCAGATATGCTGAAGGCTCATCTGGCTTGGTGAGAGAACCAGCTTAGGCATCCAGCTTATTAACAAGAGATCCAGGAAGAAATCTGTTAGGAACCCTTATCATAAAGTAGCCAAGTTAATATTTAATCACAACTTTTTTTCTTTGTAGAAAATGAATGATATAGGAAGTAGCGAGGCTTTTGCAGACAATTTCAACTGATGACATGTGACCGTAGTATATATAAGATAGAGGCTGGTACCTTTCTATTCTTCCTTTAGTAGAATGCTTACTTATTTTCATAAATCTTTGGCTGACAGTCAAAATTTCAGTATGAAAGAATCAAGTATGCATGCCACTCTGGCCAAGAATTTTTCTTCCTTTTCTCAAGCCCTAAGTTCTCAGGGCCCAGCTACAGAATAATAACAGTTTTTGAGTTGAGGAACATGGAAAAGATTATCTAGTAGACTACTGAGTTTAGTATTTTCACATGTATGTACTATGTACAGAACAAGAACTGAAAGCTGACCGAGAATTTTGTTGCCTGTACAAAGTTTACATACAGCAAACAGTCACTGTAGTAAAGGGCACCTAAAAACCCTACCAGTCTGCATTTTGCACTGGACCAAACATTTTGGAAGGAGGCAGAAAAGTAAGAGTCGATCATGCTACAATTCTGAGATGAGTCACATCTGATTGTCCCCATACTGGAAGCCAGCAGCACCCACCCACTTTATAAACCCTGTTGCTCTTTTTTATACTATAATTTCTTCTGCATAAAATACAGGATGTAACACTGAGCAAGCACTTGCAGCATGAAAAGCAGAATCAGGAGACTGTCATGACCTGCTGGATTCTCACCTTCTAAGAACATTATCAAGCAAAGCCTGACAAAGCCTTGATACAATCAGATATGTACAGCAGTCCTGGAACAAAAGCCCTAGGAAGGAGAGGCGCTGGAGCTGATTTTCTTAGTTACTTCTATGTCTGATTTGGCAACCAGAAACCGTAGCTTCTTTCTCCCAGATCGGATCAAGTCCACAGCCCTGAAAGAGAACAGCAGAGTATTTATTAGTTTGTAAATATGGCTACAGGTAAAATGAATGGTATGCATGGCAGCCTGGAAAAGTCAGTTAAGGGAAGATTTGTGAGGCTTTCCCCACTAATGGTGTATTTTTGCCCAAAACTGTATACATCTTACTCAATCATTGAAGTTGGCTTGTTTTTTTGCTTTTGTCCTTGCTTTTTACATACAAAAGATTAGAAATTGGTTGCTCTCCTTTTAAGTGTAAATGTCCTATTTCAAGGGAAAGACTAATATAAGGTAGTATGTAATAAGTGCTAATAAATGACAGTCAAGTTCTACATGAGCTAGGCCTTTAAAAAAAGGCTCGGTTTTGCTAAGCAGAGGAAATGGACATCAGCAAAAGGGCTGTGGAAGACAAGTGCAAGTTGATCAGGGGAACAGTTGGCTGGAGCACCAAACTCTGGTATTGGGCTACCCTGTCTCCTCAGAAGTTTGGGGTCATAAGGGACCTCATGCATCATCTGGTCTAACCATACCTCTTCTTTATAACCACCCAAAGTGAGACAGTCTCTGTTTAAAGACCTCCAGTGATGAAGCGTAACACTTACCGAAGCAACCCAAGCCATGGTTTTGGACTAGTTCCCTTCCTTTAAACTGAAATCCCTCTCTCCCCAGCTCTCCCTCACTGCAACACTCGTCTTTTGTAGACAGGGGTCCCACTGCCCTTAAGTCCTCCAGTTGAACAGCTCCAGCTTCCTCAAGCAATCGTGGTGAGGCTTAGCTTCCAGTCCATCACCCCTGCCTGGATGGGTTCTACTTTACTGATGTTCCTTCTACGATGTGACCTTGACCTTGAGGACTGACCAAATGCTTCCAGCTACGGTCTGATGAGGGAAGAGCACAGCAGGAGTATCACCTGCCTTTTTCCGAGTGCTACGCCTCACCTAACACAACTTAGCACAGGATTCATTGGTGTCTTTTTTTTTTTTTGGCTGCCATGTCCTTGTTGACTTAGTCCACTAAAAACCAAAGATTTTTTTTTCCATATTAACTTCTAAGTTAGACTTCCCCATTATTTATTTGTGCAATTGACTTTCCAAGCCCAAGAGCAGGATTTAATATTTATCCCAATTAAATTTTCCTTAGTTGGTTTGGCTCAACATTCTAACCTCCCTCCAAAGCTCCTCCCCTAATACTCAGCGAATACTTCCACTTCCTATTTCACCAAAAAAAAGTGCTTTTTTTCCTCATCAGATCATTCTTGCCTCTTTCTGCTCCAAACTTGAATCAAGAGGTGGCTCTTCATGGCAATTTGGACAGCAATTCCTTTATCTAATGCATTAGCTAGCCTCTTATTTTCAGGTCATCTGCAAATTTAATAAGCATGCCAGCCATCTATTTCTTCATCCAAGTCATAGACAAAAATGGTGAATTCTTTCATATATTTGTGACAGGTGTTCTGAACCTAAGCCCTTGCCCACTTAGTAAAATATATGCTCATGGCAGAACAGTAATTTCTGAAACATACACTGCTTTTAAAATAATAAAAGTTGAAAATATTCCCTTAAAGTTGCCTATGTCAGGACTACAGATCTAGAGTTGGAAAAGATCTTGGAAGACCAATCTAAGATGAATAAACTAAGGAGTACTTTTGTGACTTGCTTCTGATTTCAAATCCAGTGCTCTTATTCAATTGTATCACTATGGCTCTCTTCTTGTATCGCTAAGACAACATGCTGCAGCTAAATATCACCACTCTGCTGTTATAATCAGCAAGCCCAGACTTCCAGCTGTAAATCTATGACCCTGAGGACTTTTTTTCCCTCCACAGGCCACCCAAACAGGAAATGGGAGTAGTAATGGGAAGTTACTAAGAAACTCAATGAGAAAGCCACTTCAACAGTAAGTCACCATAGTAAGAGGCACATAAGAGAGAAGAATTTATGATGCTTTCCCTTCCTTGCCTCTCTCTTCTAAACTATTTATGAATCCGGCCTTTTCAGCTCTATTCAACTGAAACTTCCGTCTTCAAAGTTACCATCTCTTAATTGCCCATTCCAGTGGTCTTTTCTCAGTTTAATCTTTCTTGTCCTCACTGCATCACTTTTTTTTTTTTTGGCGAGGCAATTGGGGTTCAGTGACTTGCCCAGGGTCACACAGCTAGTAAGCATCAAGGGTCTGGTCTGAGGCCGCATTTGAACTCAGGTCCTCCTGACTCAGGGCCAGTGCTCTATCCACTGCGCCACCTAGCTGCCCTGTCACCGCATACTTTGATACTGTTGATCATCACCTAGATACTCTCTAGGTTTTCTTGATACTGATCTCTCCTAGTCTCCTGTTTGACAGCTCCTTACTCTCCTTTGTGACTTCATGTCATGTCCCCTACTGTGAGTGTTCCCAAAGCTCTGTCCTAGACCATCTTCTCTATACAATCTACTTGGTGATTTCCTGAGTTCCCATAGATTCAATTTATCATCTGTAGGCAAAACATTCTTAGAAATACATATCCTGCCCCAGTCTCTTTCCTGCATTTTGGATATCTTGAAGTGGATTTCCGGAAGGCAACTCAAACTCAACATGTCCAAAATCATTAGAAATCATTATCTTTTCACTCAAACTCTCTCCTCTTCTAAATTTCCCTATTACTGTTGAGGGCCCCATTGTCTTTCCATTTACCCAAGCTTACCACCCTCAGTGGCTTTGACTCATTTTCACCCCACATGGCCAGTCCCTTACCAAATCTTGTTTCTGACTTCACAGTATCTCTTGTGTATGTCTCCTGTTTACTTACACCGCAGTTACCCAAATTTAAGACATTACCCTCTTGCCTGGACTTTTGGAATAGTTTGTCTCCACTCCAATCCATCTTCTACTTAGCTGTCAAGATCTTTTTTTTTTTTAAAGGTGTATTTCTGACCATGGCTTTAAGGGGTCATGAAGAGTTGGACACAACTGAAACAACTGAACAAGTGACCATGGCACCCTCCTACAATGACTACCCATTAACTGTAGCATGAAATATAAACAACTCTGTTTGGTATTTAAAGTTCTTCACAACCAGTTCCCCTTCCTAGCTTTCCAGTCTTTCTACCCGTTACTCCCCTCCATGCACTCTATGACCCAGCTACACAGGCCACACTGCAATTCCTTAAACGTTATGTGTCATCTCCCATCACCTTACCTTTGCACTGGCTATTCCTCATGCCTGGAAAATGCTTTCTCCCCTCCCCTCTGCCTTTTCGTTTCTCAGGCTTCCTTTAAGACTCAGCTCAAGTCCCTAGCTGCTATTGCTTTCATCCTCCCAACTTACCTTTTATCATACTTTCTATCAAAACTGTCATTACGTTTTCTATATACCTAAGTCACTGACATGTTGTCTGCCCATCGGGACATCCATTTCTTGAGGACGGGGACTGTTTTTGCTTTCTTTTGTTTGCTCAGTGCTCAGCACAGTGGCTGGCATATAGTAAGCACTTAATAAAACTTACTGACTGAGATATACTAGGATCAGAACCATCTTGCATTGAACTTTAAGGCCTACTTACTGTTGTTTCCTTGTCTTAAAAAAGGCCAATTCTGCCTGCATCCTAACAGCTTGCCAGCTTGCTTTTCACTCCAAATTCATTATTTTACTTTGTTTCTCTATTTTTCTGCTGACAAAAGAGCTGCCATGAAGAGGTGAGCACCCAAAACTATTGAAGACATGTTGGATTATTGTACTTGCTCTGAGGGTACAAGCCCAGATAAAGGTTTTATAAAATGAAGTAAGTTTCTACCTCTGATAATCTGTGCCAATCAAACTGGTGCCATTCACTGCAAGAATCCGATCTCCTAAGGAAAGTCTGCCATCGGAGGCTGCTGGGCTGTCCGGGATCAAGGTCCGGATGTAGATACCAGGAGCATTCAGAGGAGTGTGCTGTAAAAGATAGGAATTCACACCACCGCTGTGGGACAGCAGTTAAGGCCTAGGATGTCTGCATGAGAACAAAGCTTGGCTGAAATTCGCACTTCTGTGTACCCTGTCATTACTATACATAAAACAACAACATTCTCAAATAAGCTATTGCTTTGCTTCTCCCACACCTGTCCCACTGTGCACAAGTGGTGGTAGTGCAATAAACACATAGATGGGTGCCTCATTCTGTACGATCATCTCTAGTAAAGGAGTAGTAGTGTGGCATGGCAGACAGAGAGCTGGCGTTTAAGCCTGCAAGACATGAGCTCAAGTCCTGCCTCTGACACATAGTGGTATGTGAACCAGGCAACTGTCTATAAACTGCAGAACTAAACAATCTAAACTGCAGAACAGTTTTGAATCTCCACTAGGGAAGGTAGCTGCCTTGTACCAATAAAAGCACAGGTCTGGGCCAACAAAGGAGTACAAACTTTAAAGGAGGACAGCAAAAAAATGTTCCAGAATTTTCGAATACTCTCATTAATATGGACAACTGAAGATTTGGTTTAATCAGAATAGAAGGTTTGCAAATAGGTTCTAAAAAATTCTTGGTGTGTGACCTCATTTTCCTGGGCACCCTCCAAGCTAAAGAGAAAACTCCAAGTACAGAATCTCTTATAAGCTCTCTTCCATAGAAATACTATTCACCAAGTTGTCATATCTCTACTGATGACAACCTGACAGTTTTAAGTGAGAGTGTGAGGAAGCTCTTTATCAGTGGGAATTTGATTTTTTCCATTTTCCCTCAACAAACCCAGGCACTAATCATGACAATCCAATCATTTCCTGAATGCCTCCCCCTCTTCAGACTAAATTAATTTTTAACATGAGGGTATGACCATAAAGCAGTAATAATGCTCACTACATCACAAATATCTAATACTTTTAAAGAAACATTCCCCTAGACCTGGAACAAGAAACCCTGGGAGTTGTCTAGGAAGTGAAAGAAACACATCTAAGAGATATATATATATATATATATCAAGTATACCTCTTTTAGATGGTACACAAGCTAGAAGGTAGTAGCTGGGACCAATTGCCTCTAATTCACTCACCAGTCCATCTATCAGGCCCATCCCCAGCCCAAGGGGTCCTTTTTCCAACTCCACCACAAAGGCGTAACAGAAGTCATCAGTGGCTGAACTGCGACTGGAAGAGGCAGGGGTAGGATAATCAAAGGGGGTGGGAGAATCTCCTGTATAACCAAGAAAAGATGGTTTGAAATGAAAAGCAGCAGTACATTCAAACATGAAGGTAAGAAAACTCTATACGCAAGCATATAAATAACAAGCCTTATGGGCTCTTAGTCAATTAGCTATACAAAAACCACAAGACAAAAGTACAGTACGTGGATGGTTCTTCAGGCTCCCCAGTTCTCCCACCTTTTGGCCAGCTCTGATCCTCAAATGCCTTCTCTACAGATTGATCAAAGAAAAAGAGACTATGAAATTGTTTAACTTAAATCAGTTATTATCGCCACTAAAATACGAGGTTACAGATAATATCTCAGATATCCTTGGTGGATGCCCCACTACTATTTACTCCTTCCATATATTTGGTTTCACTTTGTTTTAGTGTATATGCTACACTTAGCAACTTAATGCTGGCTATCCACAAATATAAGGTACTCCTATATCCTTCAGGGCATTTATTTTGCTTAGGGAATTGAATTATTCTAGAGGTTAAGTTTCCCTTGCTGCTTTCTATGGGGGAAGGGAAGAGCCTGTTTTAATTTAAAATCCAACCCAAATCGGGGGTTACCTTTGTGGTGCTCAGCTTTATACAAATTGCCAGTGTTCATTACTTTCTTAGGTATTGTTGCTGTTGCTGACATCAGAGAGATGATGCCATGACTTGCAAGTGAATTGGATTTAAGTGAAGGAAGGCTGTGCAAGGTCACCAGAGCCATCTGGGTCCAGTGGCCAGACACAGATCAGGATGACGAGATGGCTTGGGATACAGTGGGAGACCTTCGCCTTTTTAAGTTAAGGTATGCCCTTCTGGGATTAAGGCTAGTGAAGAAAAAAGGCAAAGAATGGCCTCTTTTACCTAGTCAAAAAACAAAATCAATCTGGAAGGAGAAGACCTTCAGGGATTCTGGCCAAAATAGAAATAATTTCTATTTATATTCACTCTCAACCATCAGAGCCCAAACAAGTGTGGCTTGCGCTGGGACTTACTGCCAATCAATGAGAGCCAGAGTGATTTAGGTTTCAAGCACGGTCCTTAAAAAAAAAACCTCCTCGATATCTTGTAAATTTTCAGCCATCAAAATTCATATTGCTTTGGGCAGAGCACCCAAAGGAAAGGGTATGATTTCCTATGTGGACAGAGGAAGAGGAGGGAGGGAAGGAGGGAAGGTACTAGTAGGTATTACAATCACAGAGATAGCCTTCATTTTTCCAAGACTGTCCTATCTCAGGGTTTCCAGACATTAACAAACAGCTGACATAGTTAGATCTCATTACTTTTTTGCCTCAGCCTTTACAGAATCTCAGAGCTGGAAGAGATTTTATTGGCCACCTTAGTCCACTGCACTTTGCAAATCCGCTACATAGTCATTTGGTCTCAGCTTGAAGCATTCTAGTGTGAATGAACTGCTACTTCCTCCGCTTCCTATTCCACTTTGGATCAGCTACAATTATTAGGGAGTTTCCTTACATCAATCCTAAACCTGCTTCTCTACAGCAGTGGCATCAAACTCAAATAGAAATGGATCCCTGTGGGCCGCATAGTGACTTTGAAAACCACAAACTGACATTATCAATGTTGTACTAGTTGAACATTTTTCAACTATATTTTAATCTGGTCCTAGTCTAAGGAGTTTTAACATCTCTGCTGGTTTCACCCTACCATTCCTCAATCTCCCCTGGGAGGCCCATACCTATTACACATCACTGCCCTTCAAATTTTTCTAGAGTTATCCCTTTCAACTCTCTCTCTGGCTAAACATCCCCAGTTCCTTCAACTTATCTTTTAGATCTGCAGGCCTCTTGGTCTCCTTGCTGCCCTTTTCTGCACAGACTTCAGCTTGCCTATGTCCTTACCAAGATGTGGTACTCAGAACTGAACACAGCTCTTCCTCCGCATCTGGTTTGATTAAGGCATTGTCATTCATCTCCTGCACACTACTCTTCTCAAAGAAGCCTAAGAGGACACCATTAGCATTTTCCACTCCCACGTCACACTGTTTAACTCAGACTGAGCTATTTATTATAATCCCAGATCCTTTTCACAGGAAATGTTTTGTCATCTAGCCCTTTCCCCAACCTATAATTTGTGAGATTGAGTCTTTGGTATCCAATGTGACATTTATCCCTACTCTAGACCCTTTAAAATCCCCTGTCCCCAAATCTAAGGTAAATGGCAGGTTACACCCAATGCTCTCCCCCTTTTCAGAAGCTGTGGTGGAGCAGTTAGTTATTTGTTCCCAAGGTTCTCATCATTTCTACCTCAACAACCAGTAGGTTCTTCCCTGTTGATCAGGATTATCCCAGAGGAGTAATTCATCTCATTACTTCCTCCACATGGAAAAACGTATCATTCAGTCCAGTCATGAATGTAGTGGCTACTCCGCTTTGGGCACAAGGAGTATTCCAGATAATATATGGATAGTTTGAGCTACCCTTTCCCTACATCCAGGTCAAGTATGTGATTTATTTCCCAAATTCCTTATATATTTCTTCCAGTGATCATACAGTTTCCTTCAATGATAATATTATTTTTAATTCTCCCTCATATGATTCACCCAAGTGCTCTCTATCACAGTCCCTATGAAGTAACATTTTCTTTTCTTTTTTTTTTTGGTTAGACTTTCTAGTTCATATCCTGTTTATAACTTTGCTTTCACAAAGAAACACAACTAATTAGTCCAAGAGACTCAGGTTTCCCCTTCTGGATCTGAAGAAATATTATAATCTTCTACCCCCATGAGATGTTTGGTGATTGTGAATGAACTCAGGGGCTGCAGGGACCCTCAGAGACATCTAAAGGCAGGCCCTGAGCAGTCAGCCCATCTTAATTTAGTCAGAATGACTCTCTTTTTTTGTGTACACAGGCATTTATACATACTGGTCCACCTTCCTTGGAGCTCACCAAAAAGCGGGCCAGGCAACTGGTTCATCTCTCTCCCTACCTGACAGGACTATCCAGCAATCCAAGAAAACTGTGGCAATAGTCACAGGTGGATGTGAAACAAAATGCTCAATGTGCACATGGAGGTATCTGTAACTCTGTTAAACTGAACTGCATCCCTAAAAGCAACTCCTTCTATAGGAAGCTCTCTCTACCAAGGTTAATACTTCCTCCCCCACATGGTGAAGCCAAAAGACTTTCCTGGAAACAATCTTTTCCCTTAGGTTTCATGAGTGGAAAAAATTGTTTCTTGTTTTAACAGGGTGGGTGGTCTAATGGAAACTTGTACAAATTCAAGTCAACTGGGAGCTACCAGCTCCTCAGCCGGAGGGCTGCCCACACCTTCCTGTGCAGTGCTCTGAGCATTAAGGCCATTCCTCTTCAGCTCATGAAGGGGTTTTTCACAGCTGCCACTGGGCTGGGGAGAATCCTGACTTTTGGGTTCGAAGTTGAGTGGTGTGTTGGGAGGGGTCAACAGACAGGAAGAATCCCCTTGAGGTGTGTTCATCTTAGGGCCATTCCTGCCCATGCTGTTCTGTGGCTTTAGCTTCTCCAGGGTTCTACCAGGGGACTGAGCTCGGGAAGCCCCACTGGCAGGGACAGATAGGGTTTTGGCTGCCTCTCCAATTGCCCTGCCCACTGAATGCTTTGAATCCAGTTGGTCCCCATCATCCCTGGAAGTCACTAGACTACTCCGACTCTCTGAGTGCCCTTCAGGAATAGTATGATGCAAACCCTGAAGAAGAAAAGAAAAGAAGTAGATTAATTCTACCATAGGTCTGAGATAAAAAGGATAAAAATATCAGGAATCTTAAAACAATAAAGTGTTTTGTGAAAGTAAGGCTGAGAAAGGGGAATAAAGGGATACTAGACCAAAGGTATGTCAGAGCCATCTCACCCTTCTAAGAACATAACGGGATGGCCAGACATACCAAGTTGGCCTGATTGAGAAATTTTCAGAACCTAATGCCACAGGCCTTAAACTGAGAACATTCTACCAAAGCAAACAAAATTGACAGCCTTTCTTAAGGAGGATCCCACCAAGATTACCTTCAGATTTTCTGGTTCAGGACCTGTAGCATGACAGGATTTACTCTGTAGGCTCCATAAGAAGTGGCGGATGTAAAGAAGGTGCCGGTAAATATTATCATCCAGGCATTCCACTTCCAAGTCTACCTTGAACCCTCCACTTGGCAGAATGATAGGTGGATGATTATCATAAGACTCCAGGACATCCTCTGTAAAAAGAAAATTGGCAAAGTCCACGTTAATTACTTCGGCAACAACATGTAAGTTGCCTCCTGATTTTTGCCATCTGTTTTCCCTACCCCATTCTTCTGCTTATTTTTGGGAAAATGAACCATTCTTGGCTGAACAACAGGCAAAACAAGCAATTTGAGCTGATGGTACATATCCACAGACAAGACTAACTGCTGAAGAATGAAGAGTTCCGCAATCTACCTACTATCCACACAAAGGGGACAAATATAGATTAAAATAAGCCTTATGGATATAAAAATAATTTACTAAACACCTGTGTATGAAGGCAGTATGGCAGATAATGAAAGAGAGAAAGTTTAAATAAAAAATGGTCCTTGGGGCAGCTAGGTGGTGGAGTGGATAGAGCACCAGCCCCTGAAGTCGGGAGGACCCGAGTTCAAATCCAGCCTCAGACAAGTAACACTTACTAGCTGTGTGACCCTGGGCAAGTCACTTAACCCCACTGCCTAGCAAAAACAAAAACAAAATGGTCTTTGCCATCAGTCCAACTAAGATCCATACCCAATTGAGAGTTCCCCATCAAAACTAATTATTACAAGGTCTCACAAAAGTTGCAGGGCAACACAAAGGTGCATCTGAAGGTCTTGTGCAGTTCAGGACTCCTAGGTTCATCTTTGAGGACACATACAATTAATTAAATCAGAACTAAGCTTAAGGATGGGAGGGTGGCTACTAAAAACCAATCCTCAGATGAAAGAGAGGGAATGCTGTTTCTTAAACTGACCTCAGACCTCCCTTTTTCTTACTGATATCTCCTTTTACATCACCTTCATTTCCCAATATATCCCTCCCCTCCAAACAAAAGAAGAAAAAATAAAGAAAAAAAGTAGTCCAGTGAAACTAATCAAAGCATCAGTCAAGTCTGACCGAATATGATGTATTCAATTTCTGTAACTTTTCTACCTCTGCAAAAAGGGGAAGGGTGCACACTCACATCTCCCTCTCGCTGCCAAGACTGTCCATTATAATTACATGATATTACTGTGGCTATTCTTTCCATTTACATTTCTGTAGTCAAGTGTATATTTTTCTCCTGATTTTGCTTATTTTGCTTTGCTTCAGTTCACAGGCCTAGGTGTAGTCTTTATGGGCTAACTACCAAAATTCTGGTTAGTCATAATCTGATCAATGGGCATTTATCAATGAACAATCACTTAATAAGTATCTATTACATGTCATTTACTGTGCAGGGCCCTGGGCATACAAAAACAAAGAATTAAACAATGTCCATTCTTAAGGAGCTTGATTTCCAATTCTTTGCAACCAGGAAAGCCACTGCCCCAAATATTTTTGTGTGTACTGGGTCTTTCTTTAGAACTGTGAAAAACTGTTAGATCAATTCACACCTCCTTCCACACCTCTTCCAACACTAACTAGGGTCACCCTGATTCACCTTCAATCATTTATTTGTGAGGTAACCAGGCTGAACATTAAAAACTTGAGTACTGGCTCTTCCACTGTACAACCTAACAGAAGGCTGTAAGCCACTTGTGTGGGATGAAAGGCAGATGAGATAAATAAATGAAAAAGGTTCATTCTTTGATGGATTTATGATCTCCATGAGACCTGCATTTCCTCCCACAATGCAGATCACAACCTATCTAAGCCGCCGCCTCCTCCTCCTCTCTAACTCTAATTCTAGCTCACGTTCTCTCAAGAAGAACTACCCAATATGCCTGAGATCTTTCTGCATTTCATAGATGCCAGTACAGATAGATGGCAGGCTGCCTCCGTCACTCTTTACTCTTGTCATATAGGCCTGGCCTACCTTTTTTTTCTTTCTGATTTCACCTCTCCCTGGTGATGGCAGAAGCCTTGATGAAGGTTATGTTTCAGTCTTTGTTCGCCCACTCACACATGCATCTCTGAATCATTTCATTCAATCATTCACTGATGTAGAAGCCCAAGGGTCACTTTATATTTGTCTTTCTTTCATGGTTTTCCATGGCCAAAGAATTCATCACCTAATGGTCATAGTACTTGGGATAAGCTTCTCAAAAACCCTTCTGTCATGGCATAATCTGCTAGAACTTATACTTCTGTCATAATCTTTGAGGGCACAGGGCTACCTCCATGTAACAAAGAAGTGGCCAAACAATTCTAATCATGTGCCTGATGCTTTAAGGAAGCTTCTCTAGAGGAGTTTCAAATCCTTAGCATCTTCCTTCCCTGCCACAGGAAAGGGAAGTTACAGCATTACTATTTTAGAGAGAGGAGAATCAAAATACAGTTAGGTGAATTTGATTCTGATTTAGATGGTTCTTGGTTAAAAGTCCACATTAAAACCTAGGTCTTTTAATACTCAGAGTGCACAGGACTTGTCTTTAGTAACGTGGATAAAGCCTAATGCAGCCCCACAAATGCTGAACACAGAAACTCACTGAGCCGGCGTGTAATTCAAGGTTCTGCCACTTAACACCTGTGTGACCTTGGGCAAGTCAAAAGGGTTGAACTAAATAACTTCTAAGTTCCCTTGCAGCTCTTGCTCTAGAATCCTGTGAAGGTAACATATGGATACTTTTCCATTTGTCATCAAAAACAGATATGGTCAGGAACTCACCTGTTCTAAAGGCTTTGGGCCTGTCTTCATCTAGAGGCTCCCAAGCAGTCACAGAACCAATGTCAGATGCAAGTTGGTACTGAGTCAACAACCGATGCAGCTGGGCAGGGCTCAGTTCCGGAAACTGAGTCCTCAGGGATGACCAGTTCATCTGAGTGATAAGAGGAAGCTCTGGGAGTCAAGGCCTCAAAATGGTATGAGGGAAGCAGGGCATTAGACCAACAAGAGGTACATCAACATTTCCATCTGTTACCTCATGATTTTTATCTGTAGGGCATACTTGAGGATAGAGGTTAGTTCTCAGATCAAATGACTTAGATGTGAGCTGCTGACCATAACACCCACATGGAAGACTAGTTTCTCAAGGTACCATCCTAGTTAATGCAGCTGTATGCTTGAGAAGAGGGGGAGTATTCAATGTAACACTGTACATTTGTTTAAGACAATGTCCTTTACTGGACAAATAGAAAAGGCTAGTTTCATGTGTTGTATTTTCTGTGTGACTCTTGAAGAAATGTGTCTAGTAAATTTTTGGTAATTATTTTGAAGGCTTATTTTCAATGTGCTGAATGTTAAACTAGCCATTTAGGAGCAATCCCACATCATTTCTAGAGAAAATTTCCATTTAGTGATTAGCTGAGAAAAGCTGCCTAACCTATTTGATTTGGAAAGTCATCTTTCCCAAATAATCCAGCATTTTGGCTTTAGTTGAGGATGGTCTTTGTAAGCAGCCTGCCCACCTCTCCAGAGTGTGTTAACATTTTACTATTAAACTGAGGAAAATATTAATCACATTAGTACCCTTGAAGGCAAAATAAGAAAACATTCCTATGCGCTAGTAACTACTTATAAAGTTGTTTTAGGTCTTGAAGCCCCTTTAGGCACAGGAATCTAAGCCAATGATCCAACCACTTAAAAAAAAATCCCCAACAACCAACAATAGTCCTTTAAGAACCACAATAATATGAACTCAGATACCAGACAACATGACCTTTGTGACTCTACTTCTACCACCTGCCTCCACATCATCATCCATACCTACCTGTATCAGCTGGGCACTGGGAGTAGCCAACAGGTTTACTGTGCAGGAAAGCTTCTTGAAGAACTGCTCTGCCAGTGGCCCAAAGCCCATACTTTGTGCCCATTCCAAGAGCTGCTGTAAGTGAGCACAAACTTGTACCCCTTTTGGCCAGTGGAAGCAGCTCAGTGTAGGCCCTGAGGGAGGAGATTAAAAGTGAAGCACTGGCCTCAGTGAGCTGTAGAAAAAGTCCTAGGCTTGTATGGAGAAATAAAGAGATATAAATTCTTCCTCCCCTTATACTTCCCTCTCCCTGGCCACCCCTCTGCTAGGCAAGCTTTATCCTTTTCTACCTGGTTGCCCTCTTCCCTTAACCTTAAGTTGTCAAGGAAGAATGGCAATGATCTGCTATTTGAAAGTTAATTGCCTTTCCTAATAACCACAACTTAGGCCTAAGTCACCTGGTAAATGGTGCCTATGATCACAATACTTGCTCACTTTATGACTTAAAAGTGTCAGATATACTTTACTTCGTTTGATTTCCACAAACTATTTTAAAAGGAAGCATATTTATGCTCATTTAAAAAGGAGGAGCCAGACTCACAGAGTGACTTGTACAATGGCATACAGTTAGTTAAAAGGAAGGAGCAGGAAACTCACTGACCAATTCAGATTGGAATGTAAAAATTTTAAAAGTAAAAGCTAGAGGTACTGGTCACTCTCTGGTAAGAGGGCAGAAGGGGATCACACAACCAACATGTGAAATTCACCAGGCAAACTGAAGAGAGATGGCTGGAATTTTAAGTTATTCAGGAGAGCTTTAAAATGAAAAGGGAAGGGAAAGAAACTCCCTATATATTTACAGTCTGGTAACCCCGAGTATAGCAAGTACAACACCACAGGAAATAAAGCTAAAACTAAAAAACTAATTCCTGAGACAATAACTAAAGAGAGATACGATAAAATCCATGACCTCAGATATCTATGCACAAAAACACAAAATATGAATAAATCAAGAAGCATTTGTTAAGTACCTATCTGGGCTAGGTACTGTGCACAAGTAGGAAAGAATTCAAGTATGCAAACTGAACCTTGTAAGTATAATCGTTGAGAGCTGGTGGAATGAGCTTCATGACTGTAATATGACTCTTTTTCAAAAGGAAAAACAACAGGAAAAAGAAGCAATGGAACAAACACTATACACTGTTTATTAAGAAGATACATTTATGGGAGGAAATCCAGGAATCAAGCAGGTAGAAAACTTGGGGAAAAGCATTTGAATCAATAAAGATAAAAACAAAAGCAAGAGTCAATAGGTAGAGGATGAATTATTACACAAGGAGTTCAGGAAATTGATCACAAACCAGCCCAGATGCTTAAACACTGTTTGAAGGGGGAACCTCAACTATTTTAATATTTGCTGGAGCTCTTTCTCTGTCCAAAACAGAATTAATAAATTAATGTCTTTTCTGAATGTTAACTTCGTCCTTCAAAATGTGGAAGAAATTATAAAGGGAAATGCCATTCCAGACTAGATTCCAATCGACAAGAATGAATCAATGTTGCTAAAGAAGAACTGACAGGAACCTTGGCGACAAGTTTCTTCTCTATCTTAGAATTCAAGATAGAAAAGAGAAGGAAAGGACATAATGTGCCACGTTCTCTAGACTTTACTTTTTCTCTTATTTTAGGATTTTGCGATTACATGTAAAAAATTCTTTTCAACACTCATTTGTAAAAATTTTGAGTTCCAAATTCTCTTCCTCCTTCCCCTTCCCCCTCCCCCTCCTTGAGAAGGCCAGCAATCTGATATAGGTTATACAAGTGCAGTCATGCAAAACATATTTCCATAGTGTATGTTGCAAAAGAAAACACAGACCCCAAGAAAGAAAAAAAAAAAAGAAAAAGAAAATTAAAAAAAATAGGCTATCTGCATTTAGACTCCCTTAGTTCTCTGGAGGTGCATAACATTTTTCACCCTGTCCTTCAGAATGTCAGATCACTATATTGCTAAGAATAGCTAAATCACTTACAGCTGATCATCATACAATATTGCTATTACTGCATATCATGTTCTCCTGGGTCTGCTCTCTTCTATCAATTCATATATATATTCCCAGATTTTTATGAGAGCATCCTGCTCATCATTTCTTATAGCACAATAGTATTTCATCACAATCATATACCACAACTTATTCAGCCATTCTCCAATGGATGGACATCCCCTCAATTTCCAATTCTTTTCCACCACAAAAAGAGCTGCTATAAATATTTTTGTACAAATAGGTCCTTTTTCTTTTTCTTTGATCTTTTTGGGGTACAGATCTATAAGTGGCATTGCTCGGTCAGAGGATATGCAGTTTTATTCACCCTTTGGGCATAGTTCCAAATTGCTCTCCAGCATGGCTAAATTAGTTCACAACTCCACCACCAGTACTTTAGCGTCCCATTTTTCCCATGTTCCCACCCACATCTGTCATTTTCCTTTTCTGTCATATTAGCCAATGTGAGATGGTACCTCAAAGTTGTTTTAATTTGCATTTCTCTGATCAATAGTGATTTAGTGCATTTTTTCATATGCCTATTGATAATTTGATTTCCTCTTCTGAAAACTACCTGTTCATATCCTGACCATTTATCAACTGGAATGACTCGTATTCTTATAAATCTGACTCAGTTCTCTATATATCTGAGAAATGAGGCTTTCATTGGAGAAACCTGCTGTAAAATTTTGTTCTTGGTTTCCTGCTTTCTTTTCAATCTTGGAAGCATTGGTTTGGTTTATGCAAAAACTTTTAAATTTAATGTAATCAAAATTATTTATTTTATATCCCATAAATGCTATCTTGTTTGGTCAAGAGTAGACTTCCAAGTATTTTATATTGTCTACAATTATTTCCCCTAGACTTTAGGTGAGTTTATTTCAAAGGGTTCAGAGGAGAGATAAGTAGAATTCAACAATCAAGTATGTTATAAAGTACACTGGCCCAAGATGAATGGGAAGCTCTTGAGAATGAAATCTTTTAAATGTGTAAGGAAAAATTATTCCAAGGAGGGGAGAAAATGGTGAAGCTGCCTAAAGAGATCAATGTGGCTGCACAGAGAACTCACTGACCAAATTCAGTAACTTGGTTCTTTATGACGGAGGTGTCTAATGCTAGAGCTCACAAGGGACCAAAGGACTAGTGATTAATGGTGAGGACATCTCTTCTGTAACATACTCAACAAGGTGATCATTCAGTGCCTGCTATAGAAGACCTTCACTGAGGAGGACCCCACCACCTCCCTAGGTATCCACCTTTTAAAACAAGAAACCTGGCTTGCTTTTTCAAGGCTTAGCTAATGTGACAGAATGAAAGCTCCTTAAGGTAAAGGAACTGTTTTGCTTTTGTGTCCAAGATGCTTGATAAATGTTTCCTGAATTTCTAACTGATCTCATCAGTCATTTAGTCTCATGGACTAAATTATCATTTCTATGCAGCTGACTCCCAAATCTATATATCCAGATCTAACCCATCTCACAAAATCAGCTGGACCTGAAGGTACTAAAACCTCAACATGTCCAAAATGGATCTTCTTCCTCTAAAACCCATCCCTCCTCTTCACTTCCCTATTTCTTTTAAGGATATCACATTCCTTCCAGTAAGCTTGGCTTCATAGTCATCCTCAACTCTTTTCTCTCCCCTACCCCTTTAAGTTAATCAGTTGCCAAGACTCGCTGATCTTACTTCCATAATCTCTCTTTAATTCATGCCCCTCTCACAAACAACCACCCTAGCTCAGGTTCTCATTGCCCCTCACATGGACGATTTTAATAAACTCCTAAATAGACTCTCGCAGCTTCGTCTCTTCCCTTTCCAAACCTTCTTTCACATAGCTGTCAAAATGGTAATCCTAAAACACAGATCTGATTATGGGACTCCTCTACTCAAAAGTCTTCAGGGGCTCTTATACATAGGCTTACATTTAGAGCACTTGTCAACCTGGCTCCTGTCTACATTTATGGACTTATTTCACATTACATTCCTTCACAAACTCTCATGCTATCCTTGTGGATGATACAGAAAGATGTGGCCTAGATAACAGTACAATTAGTAATTGGTAAATGGTTATTAATGGAAACTTCTCTAATGGAATGCTCCCAGGCATCTGCCCCAGACTTTATGCATTGTTCAAAATTTTTGTTATTTTCATAGTCATATCTCTAACACCCTAAAGAAAAGCTTCTGACAAGTAAAGTACACTTACATTCCTTAAGTTTCTTCCTGATTTAGGTAATGAATTTGGTAGGACTCCTTCTTCACCTATTTTCCCAAATAGTTTATGTAGTGTTGGAATTAATTGTTCTTTAAACATTTCATAGAATTCACTTGTAAATCCATCTGGCCCTGGAGATTTTTTCTCAGGGAGTTCATTGATGGCTTGTTCAATTTCTTTTTCTGAAATGGGGTTATGTTTTTATTTCCTCTTCTGATAATTTGGGCAATGTATATTTTTGTAAATATTCATCCATTTCACTAAGATTGTCAAATTTATTGGCATACAATTGGGCAAATAGCTTCTAATTATTGTTTTGATTTCCTCTTCATTTTTGATGTTGATAATTTGGTTTTCTTTTCTTTTTTAAAAAAATCAAATTTACCAAAGGTTTATCTATTTTATTATTACCAGCTCTTAGTTTTATTTATTAGTTCTTAATTTCAATTTTATTAATTTCTCCTTTGGTTTTCAGAATTTCTAATTTGGTATTTAATTTGGGATTTTTAATTTGTTCTTTTTCTAGCCTTTTTAATTGCATGCCCAATTCACTGATCTCCTCTTTTAGAGATATAAAGCATTTAGAGATATAAAACTTCCCCTAAGAACTCACAGCATCCCATAAGTTTTGGTATGTTGTCTCATTACTGTCATTCTCTTGGATGAAGTTATTGATTGTTTCTATGATTTGTTGTTCGACCCACTTATTCTTTCGGATTAGATTATTTAGTTTCCAATTAATTTTCAGTCTATCTTTCCATGGCCCTTTATTATTACATGTTAATTTTCACTGCATCATGATCTCAAAAGGATGCATTTAATATTTCTGCCTTTCTGCACTGGATTGTGAGGTTTTTATGCCCTAGTACTTGGTCAATTTTTGTGTAGGTGCCATAAACCGCTGAGAAAAAGGTATATTCCCTTCTATCCTCATTCAGTT